GCTGCTGGCCTCGTCGGAGGCTTGGGCTCGCGCGCTGGACTGACTCCCGTCGGCGGCCTGCCCTCGACCAGAGTCGCCGCTGCTGGCATGTTGGGGCTGGGCGGTTCTGCGCCGCCGTGTCCGTGTCCGCCGTGTCCGGCTGGGCATGTCGGGCTCGGGCGACCAGCCGCGGCGGCGCGCGCTGGCGCGGACCCGCAACCCCCCCACCCCCCCCGGCAGTGCCCCTGCCCAAACAGAGTCGCCGCCACTGGTTCGAGGCCCCGGCGCCGCCGTGGCATTGCGGGTCTGGCCTGGGCCCGCGGGCTGGGCGCCCCCGGCTCGAACCCCGCCCGGCGCGCGCGCTGGCCGCCGCGCAAGGGGGCCCGCGATGGTGCTCTGCGGCCCCCGTGGCGGGGCCCGCGCGGCGCAGCTGCCCCCCCGCAGCGGCGCCCGCGATAAAACGACGGGAGCGAAGAGGCTGCCCCCGCGCCCCAGCTGGGCCGCCAGTCGCCCGCAAGAGGTGCGGACGACCGCGGACGGAACGGCGGGCGCAACAATCCCGCCCGCCGCCGCTCCCGCCCGCCCACAGCAGGCCAGCTCAGCTGGGCTGCGAGGGGGGCGCAGCAAAGCGACTGGCGCGTAAAGCCACCGACGAGGCAAGGCGACTGGCCCCTGGCGCGGGCCTGGCAGCCCGGCTGAGCTGCCCCGAGCAGGCCGAGCGGGGTCAGGCACATCCGCGCCCCTCGCCCTGTCGCGGGCACTGCTGCGGATCGGCAGCCGCGCCGCGCGGGCGCGGCGCGCCAGGCGGGCGCCGCTGCAGGAGCCCCGGCCTGCGAGCCCAGGCAGGCCCCCCCCCATGGGCCGCGCAGACATGGCGGCGCAATGCTGCCGAGTCCCAGGTCGGGCATGTCCTCCCGCGGGCAGATTCTGGAGGAAAAATAAGACATCATAGACACTGCGTAAAAAGAATGTTAGAAAAATCGTCCCCTAGGATTCAACCAGTTTGCGAGTGTCCCCCGCGTAGAGGGCCGCGCCCGGCTGGAGCCGAGTCCCAACGTGCCATCGGCGGCGATTTGGGACAGGGGCAAGCCAATCACGCAGAAATGGCCCCCAGCGCACGCACGCCGTTGTGGCCTAGTGGAAAAGGTCCTGAAGCCCACAACCTGGAGATCCAAAGCTCAAGTTCCAGGTGTCCTTGCCCAAACCTGCGCAGGAAAAAGATGCTGCCCATTCTCCTCGCAAATCAGACAGCGCGGCTCCGACCCCCCTCGGCCCCGCGGGGTGCCCATGGCCGCCACCGAAGAAAGCCCCGGCAAAACAACCACTTGCGCAGACGGCAGATGCGCAGAACGACGAGAACAAAAGAGAGAGAGAGAGAGAAGAAGAGAGAGATAGGAGCAGAGAGAGAGAGAGGGATATATATATATATATAAAAAAAAAGAGAGAGAGAGAGAGAGAAAAACACAAAAAAAAAAAAACGAGGGAGAGAGAGAGAGAGAGGGAGGGAGAGAACGAGAGAGAGAGAGGACAGAAAGAACAATAACCCCAAACAACACAAACATACACAAAAGATAAAGAGAGATCTGCGACGAAGGACCCAACCGTCTGAAGTCGCGAGTACCGCTAGGCTCATGGGGCGAAGGAGGGGGCAACGCGAACTCCTAGTGGCGCACGCGGTATGGCCTTCTGCCGCGAAGCGTGCGAAGGGCGCGCCGACTGGGAGGACGCCTGCGAACTTCCCCATTGGGGCCATCCGTGGAGCTGGGATGTGCCGAAATCGGGGCGGCGGCGCCATGCGAACCTTCCAACTGGGGCCTTAGGTGGAGCTCCTTATGGGGCCGCGGAGCGCGCGAGGGGCGCGCCGACATGGAGCGGCGGCGCCATGCGGGGCGGCGGTGCCATGCGGTTTTTCACAGTGGGGCCTTCGGCGGGGCCCCCTATAAGGCCGCGAAACGTGCGAGGGGCGCGCCGCAATCGGGCGGCGGCGCCACGCAAACTTTAACAATGGGGCCTTCGGCGGAGTTCCCTGCTGGGCCACGCGACGCGTGGAGAGCGCGCCGCAATCGGGCGGCGGCGCCATGCGAATTTTCCCACTGGGGCCTTCGGCGGGGCTCCCTGTGGGGCCACGAAGCGCGTGAGTGGCGTACCGAAGATTGAGCAGGGGCCGACTGTCCCAGCAATCCTATAGTCAGAGCACGAAATGTTCTTAGAATCCAAACATGTTCTAAGAACGAAAACAATGTTCTTAGAACAGACATCCGGTGTGATAAACCAAGACAGGCTCCGCCAGAAATGTTCCCAAAACATTTTGCGGAAACCACAGAAGGTAAAAACATTGGCGTGGGACTATATGCGAGCTGGTACGCTTCGCCACTGCTTGAGAAGTGGTGCGGCGGTGCCGTGCAAATTTTCCCATTGGGGCCTTCGGTGCAGGTCCATTTCGGCGCCGGAATGGGGCGCCGGCACTTCGCGAACTTTCCCACTGCAGCCTTCGATGGGGATCCCGATGGGGCCGCGAGACGCGCAAGGGGCGTGCCGAAAATTGAGCGGCGGCGCCATGTTAACTTGCCCGCTGGGGCCTTCGGTGGAGCTCCCTATGGGTCCCTATGGTGCCGCGAAACGCGCGAGATGTGCGTGCCGAAGTGGGGCGGCGGTGCCATGCGAACTTGTTATATGGGGCTTTCGGTGGAGCTACACGGGGCCGCGAAACGCGTGAGGGGTGTGCACAGATGGAGCGGCAGTGTCATGTTAACTTTCCTAGTGGGGCCTCCTGTGGAACTCCCTACGGGGCCGCGGAACGCGTTGGCGGCGTGCCGACATGGGGCGGCGGTAATTACCATGCGGACTTTCCAACTGAGCCCTTCGGCTGGGCTCCCTGCGGGGCCGCGACGCATGAGGCGCATGCCGAAATGGGGCGGCGGCGCCATGCGGACTTTCCCACTGGTCCTCTGGTGCAGCTCCCTGTGCGGCCACGAAACGTGCGAGGCGTGAGCTGAAATGGGGCGGCGGTGCCACGCGAAAATTCCCACTGGGGCCATCGGTGGAGCTCCCTATGGGAACGCGAAACGTGCGTGGGGCGCGCCGAAGTGGGGCGGCGGCGCCATGCAAACTTTCCCACCGGGGCCTTCGGCGGAGCTCCCAATGTGGCCACGAAGCTTGTGAGGGGTGTGCCGAAATGGGGCGGCGGTGCCATGCGGACTGTTCCATTTTTTAAAAACAAAAACCATGTTTTCTTGAACTGAAGACATGTAAAGATATCTGAGGCAGCCCCAGAAGCACCCCCCTCCCTGAGCACCCAGCTGCGAGGGCGGGCGCGGCGGAGCGGAGGGAAGGGGCCAGGTATGCAGCGTCACCAGGGGCGCCCACGCGAGGAACCCTCCTGGCCGCGCCCCCCCCGAACGGGGGGAGTCCACCGAAGCCACGCCCTGGCGGCTTCAAGGAGGTGCTCGGCGAGAGGCGCGCAGCTGCCAGCTTGCGCTTGAGCCTCCCGAGAAGCTCCGCCCCCTGGCCAGGGTCGTAGCCCGAGGAACCCCGCAGCAACGCCATCGAAGCCTGCAGGAGCTGCTCGCGCTCCGCCTCGGGTCGCCCTGGCCCAGGATGGGCCGAGCCGCCAGCCGGCGCCCTCCCAGCACCGCCGCCGCGACGGGGAAGCGCGAGGTCGGCCCAACTGTCGCCCGCCAGCCCCATCGGATCCCCACGAGCAGGGAGGCCAGCATCAGCATCAGGAAGGTCGGCGCGCTGCGTCGCCGTTCCGCGTCCGTCGCCAACTGCCAGCACAGCCGTCGCCACGAAACCACCTGCACCTTCAACCTCCGCACTCGTATTCTCGGCCACCGCCCCAACGACGGCGGAGACCGCTGTACCAGCGGCGCGCTAGCCACGTCCGCGCCGCCGCCGCCGCCGCCACCGAGGCACAGCGCCAGGGGCAGGCGCGGCAGGTGCCGCCGGGGGGCCGTGCCAGCGCGGCCACCGCAGCGCGCAGGCGGCCCTCGGCCGCGCGGAGAAGGCGTACCCCATCGGGGGGGCCTCCCGCGGACAAGCCCGAGGCCGCGTGAACCGCAAGGAGTGCGCCGCGCGCAGCTTCGTCGGCCCAGCGGCACGCCCCCGCAGTGAGCGAACCCGGCATCGGTCCGCGCGGCGGGCGGCGCGCGGCGCGGCAGCCCTGCGGCACAGCGGACCTGATCCAGAACGGTTCTTCCCACTTGGGCCTTCGGTGAGGCCCCCTATGGGGCCACGAAACGTGTGAGGGGCGTGCCGAAATGGGGCGGCGGTGCCATGCGAACTTTCCCACACTGGGGCCTTCGGCGGACCTCCCTATGGGGCCACGACACGTGTGAGGAGTGTGCCGAAATGGGGCGGCGGTGCCATGCAAATTTTCCCACTGGGGCCTTCGGCGGAGCTCCCCATGGGGGGCCACGAATCGGATGGGCATGCGGAGAGCAGAGGAAAGGAGGGAAGGAGGGAAGGAGGGAGGAGGGGGAGGGCTCAGGGGGCAGCGGGAGAATGAGTGAACCCGGGCCGCTGTCTCTTCAAAACGAGGACCCAACACCACAGGAGAGTTGGGAACACAAAAAAGAGAGAGACAGAGAGAAAGAGAGAAAGAGCGAGCGGAGGAAACACGACACGCGCAAATCCAACAATACGTGTTGGAAACAACCGGCCCTCTAACACCACACCAAACCATTTGTTGAGACGAATGTGTCTGTCGCTGAAGCGAGAACCACACTTTGAAAGCAGACCGCCCTCCATCCGTGAAACGGCTGCAAACTTCAAATTTCAGGATCATAAATCATAAAGAAATCAGGCTAAACGCCAGGTCCGCCCTTTCGACTGGCTTCGGGGTGCGACAGGGAGGAACTCTTCGGAAGGTCAAATACTGAAGGCGTCAGAGGATCAGGAGCATGGACCGGGAGAGCGAAAGGAGGAGGCGGCGGAGCAGGAGCACGAGCGAGAGCGGAGGGGAGGAGGAGGAGGAGGAGGAGGAGGAGGAGGAAAAGGAGGAGGAGGAGGAGGAGCAATTCCTCGTCGGAGAAGCTGGAGCCGCTCCCCGCGCCACGCCGGGCTGTCTTCTCCAGGGGCTCCAGCCTTCTCAGCGCCAGGGTGCACATCACCACGCCGGGCCACAGGAGGCACCCAGAGGAAACCACCTGCCCTCGAGCCCGCCCCCCCCTCTTTCTGTCTCTTGCTCTCTCTCTCTCTCATTCTCTCTCTCTTTTCCTGTCTCCCTTCCTGGAAGGTCGGAACAGGGAGGAGGGAAGACGAGGATCAGAGGGAGACAGGCAAGGAAAGAGAAGGAAAGATGAGGAAGGCGGGGAGGGAGGGAAGGCAGGAAAGACGATGGACGAGGACGAAGATGAGGGGCAGGGAGAAATAATGCTCCAGCCCCTTGTGGGGCCACCGGGCTGTAGGACGAAGTTGGTGCTCCCTGCACCGGTTGCAGTTTCGTCTCCAATGCTACAATCTTGGTTTCTGCTCCCTCGTGTAAACTGTTGAAGTCCGCGCGAGAGGGGGGGGCCCAAAAAGATCCAAGTTACCACGACCGAATCGCGCTCTCTGAACTCCTGGGGGGGGCGTGGGACACGTCAAAATAACTGAGACTCGCGCCCCCGAAGTCGTAATCCATCGTAAATTGCGCAATGTTCGCATCCCCGAGGCCACATACCCTCGAAAATTACTCAATGCTTGCGTCCCCGAAGCAACAAACCCTTGAAAATTACGCAACTGTCGCGTCACCGAAACCATAAACCTTGAGAAATTACGCCATGTGCGCACTGCCGGCTCCAAGACGCCCAACGATGGGCAAACGACGGCACAACAGGGCCCAAAGAGGCCTCAACAGCGTTCCAAGAGGCCTCTCAGGAGAGCCCCTAGAGGCCAACATCGTAGATTTTACGAAGGTGTTCGAAGGATGTTGGCCTTCTCGCATGTTCGACTTCCCGACGCTCCAAGACGACTCAAGAAGCTCCCAAAACCGCCCCACCAAACCGGCCAAAGACGCCTCGGGCCCCAAGACGGCCCAAGAGGGCTCCAAGATGGCCCGAGATGCGCTCAAGACAGCCCAAGGCGGCCGAGGCCGCCGAGAGGCCCCAAGAGGCACCCAAGACGCACCCAAGAGGCCCAAGACGCACCCAAGAGGCCTCCAAGAGGCCCAAAAGATACCCCACGAGGCCCCAAGAGGCCCCCAAGACGGCTCTAAGAGACCCTCCTGGGCTCCCCACGATACCTCAACACATACAAGAGGCCTCAGACCCAGAATTCAAGCACGGTGGCGGGATGGGCCGAAGGCCATTAGGATCCGCCGCCCCCTGCTTGCAGGGGTGCACGGCGTGCTGGATGTTTCAGGTTTTGGTTTTGGTTCTTTTTCCAAAAGAACTCCCCAGTGGGCTCCGGCCCGTCCCGCCACCGTGCCCAAAAACGGCCGTTTCGCTCGGGACATCCTCAAAAAATCGCGAAGATGGCCCAAGATGGCCTCCAAGTCCGCCCGAGATGGTCCAAGACGGCCTCCAAAACGGCCCAAGAGAGTCCAAGACGGCCCAAGACGGCCCAAGAGGCCCCCCAGAGGCCTCCCAGACGGCCCAAGAGGCCTCCAAGAGGTCCTCCAGGAGAGTCCGAAGAGGCCAAAATCATTGATTTTCCCTTGGTTTTTGAAGGATTTTGGCATTTGCGCCTTTTCGGCTCTCCGACGGCTCAAGACGGCCCAAGAAGCCCCCAAGATCGCCCAAGAGGCCCCCAAGAGAGCCCCCTGATGGCCCAAGTGGCCTCCAAGATGGCCCCTAGAGGGCCCCAAGAGGGCCCAAGAGGCCTCCAACACGCCCAAGATGGCCTCCAAGACGCCCAAGATGGCCTCCAAGACGGCCCTGGAGCGCCCCAAGAGGGTCCCCCGTTGGCCCAGAAAGGCCCCCAAAACGGCTCCCGACGGCGTCAGACGTGCCAGGAACCCACCAAGATGGCCGAAGTTGGCTCGAAGCTGGCCCAAAAGGGCCCAAGAGGCCCCCAAGAGGGCCTCCAGGAAGGCCAAAAGATGCCAAAATCACTGATTTTCCCAAGGTTTTTGATGGATTTGGGCATTTCCCTTTTTTCGGCCTTCCGACGGCCCGACACGGCCCAAGAGCCCCCAAAGATCGCCGAAAGATCGCCCAAGAGGCCTCCAAGACGGCGACGATGACCATCAAGACGCTCACGTGTTCCCCGAAGGCTTTCCAAACCGATTCGGGGAACACATGGTCCGATGGCTTGGCAGGCCTGGCCTCAACGTTCGGCCACATAGGCGCTTCCACAAAGGCAGGGGGCGGCGGTGATTCGCCGTAGGCGTCTTCGATAACGCGAACGTCTCAATTTGCGCTGATGATTCCTATCTGCCCCAGCACGACGTCCCCAGTTACGCCAAGGCAGCGCTGGACGCACCGACGCGACTCTGAAATTTCCCATTACCTATACGACCGCCCCGCGGGCGATAAGGCGGTTGGGGGGGGATTGAAAATCAAATGCCCACCCCGACTGACCTCCAGGCTGTCACCTTGATCTCAAATCTCTCTTTCTCTCTGTCTCGCTCTCTCGCTCTCACTCTCTGTGTCTCTCCCTCTCTCTCTCTCTCGCCCTCCCTCTCTCTCTCTCTCTCCCTCTCTATCAGAGTCTAGTAGTTGGGGGATTGGATTGGGTTGGATTGGGTTGGGTGGATTGGATTGGATTGGATTGGATAAGATGGATTGGATACGATAAGATGGGTTGGGTTGGAAGATATGTATTGGACAAGATAAGATGGATCGGATTGGCCCGCCGCAGGCGCAGAAACAAATGAATTGATGGATTGGGTTGGGTGGATTGGATTGGGTGGGATAAGAGACAATGGGACAAGATGGGTTGGATAAGCTAAGATGAATTGGATTGGACAAGATGGATTGAATAAGATAAGCTGGATTGGATAAGAAAGCCCGCCGCAAGCGCCGAAAACAATGAATTATGAAATTAGCGACATGCGTTAGCCCCGGGCCGCCCGGGACACCTGGGACACCCGGGACACCGCCCGGCCCAACTGGGACACCTGGGACTTTCGCTCCTACTTCGGCCTAGCTACAGGTGGATCACGCGCAGCTTCGCCTCGCCCGCACGCACGACACGAACACGAAACAGAAACCGATTTCCCGGTGGGTGGTCTCCGTCCCGATGATAGAGAGAAGGCCGGCTGCAGGGGGTAAAGCCCTTACGGATAACTACCGAGAAGGAGGAGTAAGTAGGAAGGAGGGGGAGGAGGGGGAGCACGAAAAAGAGGACGACGAGGACGAGGACGAGGACCAGTCTTCCCCATCCACCAAGAATGCTCGATGCTTGAGGGCCATCAGAAGATTGGAATGTGTTGGGAGAAGTATTGTCAATTCAGGCCTCTGCCGAAGGTTGAAGATTCCCTAGGGTCATCCAGATTTCTTCCTTATCATCATCCTCCGTCTACTTATATTTTGCCTCCTCCTCCTCGTCTCTGTTCATCCCCGTCTTCCCCCTCCCTCCTCTCCACCCTCCCCTCCACCGCCTCACCGCCCCCTCCTCCCACTCTCTCCCTTCCCCCCTCGCATTCCCCCCTCCCCGTCCCCATCGCTGTTACCCCCTGCTCTTCCCCTGCTACTCGTGCTCCTCTTCTCCTTCTCGTCCCTCTCGACCTTGCCTTCCTGCTTCTATTAGTACTCCCCGTGCTCCTCCACCTCCTCCTCCTCCTCCTCCCCTTTCCCCCTTCCTCTCTTCCTTCTCTTCCCATTTTCCTCCCTATCATCCTCCTCATCATCACCATGTTTCTTCTCCTCCTCCTCCTCCTCCTCCTCCTCATCACCATGTCTCTCCTCCTCCTCCCTCTCCTCCTCCTCCTCCTGCTGCACTCCCTCCGTCCCGACACTTCCTCGAACGCCCGAGCGCCCCGGAGCGCCAGGAGCGCTCGCGCTAGCCAGCCCGGCACAGGCGCCTCCGGCGGAGGCGCAGCCAGGCCCGCGGGGCGCTGAGGCGCTGAATTCGGAGGCAACTGCTGGGAGGTCTTCGTCGGAAGGACTGGGGAGGATTGAGTCCCCATTGGGGGTCTGTTACGCTGCATTGCGCGGGATGAAGCGGGATGAAGCCGGACGAAGCGGGACTTTGGACGCCCGAAATGGGTACGGGAAGAATGGGCACAATGCCCAACAACAAATGTTGTCCCAAACCATCAGCGGCCGCTGTTGGGCAGGCTGCCTTCTGTCTCGAATGGACACAGGCCGCGGCGGCGTGGACAGCGAATCCTGTTCAAAATGAACAAGAACTGCTGTTAGGCATTGTACCTATTCTTTCCGTACCCATTTCGGGCGTCCAGAGGGATTAAGCGGGGTTGAGCCAGATTAAGCGGGATGAAGCTGGATTCACTCGGATTTCGTACCAGGGCACCATCAGAATTTGACCTCCCAGGAGTTGTACCCGAAGCTGAGGCGGGAGTCCTCGAGGAGCCGGCGGGACCGCCGCATGGCGCCGAAGTCCGCGCCGCGCAGTGGATGACGCGCAAGCGCTGCCAGCAGTGGCGGTGGCGGTACAGCCAGCTCGAGTCCCGAGACTACTGGTGCTCATGCGGATGTCCAGCGGCCAGGCCCAAGGCGAAGCCGAAGCCCGACGCCGGCCCATCGGACGGCAAGGACAAGGGCGGCAAGGGCATAGCAAGGGCAGCGACGGCAACATGGAGTACGGCGCGCAAGGCGTCGAGCACATTAACGTGTCGCTGAAGCCCATGACGACCACGCTGGGCGCGCTGCAGCTGGCCAACAAGGACGGCACCGCGAAGCAGCGCGGGGCCGCGGCCACGGCGCGAAAGGAGGCTGCGACAACGGCGCCGCTGGTCAAAGTCGCACGCCGCACGGCTCGCCGAGGCAGCGACGAGCTTACAGTGGAGGCCAGACCAGGAGAAACCTTCCACAAGAGACCCAACCCTGAGACACCAGGACTTCCATGGTTTTTGGGTGTGGGGACGTCACGCTCTCTATGGCAAACCATCGAAACCCAAGAAACCCAGGGCACCCTGGAGGCAAGCAGGGTCCTTATTTCAGGGGGGCGTAAGACCCGGGTACAGGGGACTCGGAAATCCCCGACGAGGTCGTCAACAAAAATGACGAGGCCGAGCCTGCATTTTGACGAGGCCTCCCGCTGC